AAATCCAGCAGATGTCACCAAGTATGACTGCAATACTGAACCATAAATGACCCCGACTGCAACACCAAACATGTCCAGCAGATGTCACCAAGTATAAATAATCCTGACTGCATTACTGAACCATAAATGACCCCGACTGCAATACCGAACATGTCCAGCAGGTGTCCCCAATTATAAATGACCCTGACTGCAATACCGAACATGTCCAGCAGGTGTCACCAACACCTCAGCTCACAAATTGAATTCAGAGTATCAGAGGTCTGCCATGAGCCAGTTCTAACAGACAATTCCTGCTGCTTGGCTGTCATATTGATCCTCTGGAATCTCTGAGTCACTATTTTAGAACAGGTGTTCAGGATGACGGCTTCTGGCATTACTTCCTCCACATGCCTGCTGCGGGTCAGTGCCTGAGATATTTTTTGAAGCCAGAGGTTCAACATAGCAGCCAGGGATCCAGTATTTTCAGAAGGAGCTCAGCAGTCGCATTCCCTGTATTTCTCTTCTGTATCTTAGTCCCCAAGTGACAATCAGAGGGTGTCATGATGATCCTCTGGCTTCAAAGCTATGAGTCACTGACCTGAAATGCCACAGCTGGAGGCAGCCAGGTAACCGGCATTTTCAGGGAAAATGAACAATGTGGCCTTGTCCAGTACAGCTTCCCTCTGAAGGGAGAGGAGGCGACGGTGCTGGGCTGTCATCCTCGTCCTCACTTCCCTGCACCCAGAGTCACTGGCTGTAGGTTGGAATTGTGGGATAAACGCTGACAGGCTCCTCCCCCTCCTCTGGGATCATGGCTCCGCACTCAGGGGCGGGGTCATCAGAAGCCGCCATCACTTCCCGCCGGTTCATCCAGAACGCCGCTGGGAATAAAAGGAAATCCTCCCTGGGCTGGAGAAGGGAAATAAACGCCTGACCAGCGGGGAGATCAGATTACATGGACTGCTGAACGGCTCAAAGGAAAGAGCAGGCCCCTCCTCCTCCGCCCACGCTGCTCATAGGCCTGGGGGGGCTCACTCATCATGGCTGTCAATGGAGACAAGAAACACCCCCCCCCCCAACCCGCTGATCGGGGGATATAACAAAGATTTGATACAAATAGAACGCACAAAAAATTTTAAGGGCCAGTAACTCCATAGAGGGGGCCGGTAACTCCATAGAGGGGGCCGATTACTCCATAGAGGGGGGGGGTAGTAACTCCATAGAGGTTGCCGATTACTCCATAGAGGGAAGTAGTAACTCCATAGAGGGGGCCGGTTACTCCATAGAAGGGCCGGTAACTCTATAGAGGGGGCCAGTTACTCCATAGAGGGGCCGGTTACTCCATAGAGGGGGCCGGTTACTCCATAGAGGGGGGTAGTAACTCCATAGAGGGGGCCGGTTACTCCATAGAGGGGGCCAGTAAACTCCATAGAGGGGGCCGGTTACTCCATAGAGGGGGGTAGTAACTCCATAGAGGGGGCCGGTTACGCCATAGAGGGGCCGGTAACTCCATAGAGGGGGCCGGTTACTCCATAGAGGGGGCCGGTTACTCCATAGAGGGGGGTAGTAACTCCATAGAGGGGGCCGGTTACTCCATAGAGGGGGCCAGTAACTCCATAGAGGGGGCCGGTTACTCCATAGAGAGGGCCGGTTACTGCATAGAGGGAGCCGGTAACTCCATAGAGGGGGCCAGTTACTCCATAGAGGGGGGTAGTAACTCCATAGAGGGGGCCGGTTACTCCATAGAGGGGGCCGGTAACTCCATAGAGGGGGCCGGTTACTCCATAGAGCGGGCCAATAACTCCATAGAGGGGCCAGTAACTCCAAAGAGGGGCCAGTAACTCCATAGCAGCCAGACATCCAGTATTTTCAGGAGGAGCTCAGTTACTCTGTGTAGAGGGGGCAATGACTCTCTCTGTTAGGGGGGCAGTTACTCCATAGAGGCAGCAGTTACTGAAACGAGGGGGGCATATACTCTCTAAGGGGGAGGGGTAATCTATGGTGGAGGGGGGGGTCGTTACTATATAGAGGAATCTGTTAATACTTAGAGGGGGGCTGTTACTCTGTGGAGGGGACAGTTACTATATAGAGGGGCAATCATTCTATGGAGGGGGGGGCAGTTACTCTCCCGGTAAGCAGGGTGGGGCAGTCACTCTATGAAGGGGGGTGTTATTGTCAATGTGGTGGGGATGGTAATTTCTGGGGGGGGGGGCAGTTATCTATTGTTCTGTATATATTAGTGTCCTGATCTGAGTGGTTGGCGGGGTGCTGCGGATGAGTCGTGCCAGGCCGAGGTCCCTCTCTCTGATTGGGGGGGGGGGGGAGGCAGTGGCAGTTGCTCCTATGATGAAGGCGGGTGTTCTCTTTATGGGGGTTATGTTCTCTGGGGGGGGGGGGGCAGTTATCTATTCTTCTGTATATATTAGTGTCCTGATCTGAGTGGTTGGCGGGGTGCTGCGGATGAGTCGTGCCAGACCAAGGTCTCGCTCTCTGTGAGTGTCGTCCCTGGAAGACAATAATCCCAGCGCGGCGCTCGCTGGGTGATTATGGGATGTGATGGGGGCTCGCGGAGCGGGGGATGAGAGGGTATTAGCTCGGCGGTGAAATCCGGCCGATAATGGCATGTGAAGTGCTTGTTAATTACATCTCATTGTTCGGCTCCGCCATGGTCATAATTCAGGGACGTTGTGTGCCGTACGAAGAAGACCGATACACCCCTCCACCCCCCCCCCCCCCCCCCCCCCCCGGGGGACACAAGGACGGCGCCCGCTCTCGGGTCACATTAAATGTTAATTGGTCACAAGTTATTCACCGTCACATTCATCGCTGAATCCCCATAAAGTGATCTGTATAGAACACCCGCTCCAAGGCCCCTCCATGCAATGCTGGCCCAGCAGTACGTAGGGTGCACATTGAGGCTCTGGCCAAATAAAAGACCCCAAATAAAAGAGGACCGCCCACTGCGCCCACCAAATACTACATTCCAACGTAGCACAGCATACAACACGGCGCCGACGCGTTTCCCTCTGTACTCCAGGCTGCAGCACAATCTGATCTGTGTGCGGGGGGAAGGACGATTTCTGCTGGTTGGGGGTTTTGCTACAGTAGAGGGGGTGTTGCTGGTTGGGAGTTTTGCTGGGGCAGGGGGGTTGTTGCTGGTTGGGGGTTTTACTAGGGCAAGGGGTCTAATGCCCCCTCCCCCACAGTCCCATCAGTCTCTGTACAGAGGAGCTTACACTCTAATGTCCCCTCCCCCACAGTCCCATCAGTCTCTGTACCAGAGGAGCTTACACTCTAATGTCCCCCACAGTCCCATCAGTCTCTGTACCAGAGGAGCTTACACTCTAATGTCCCTCCCCCACAGCCCCATCAGTCTCTGTACCAGAGGAGCTTACGCTCTAATGTCCCCCTCCCCCACAGCCCCATCAGTCTCTGTACAGAGGAGCTTACGCTCTAATGTCCCCTCCCCCACAGTCCCATCAGTCTCTGTACCAGAGGAGCTTACGCTCTAATGTCCCCCCCCCCCCCACAGTCACATCAGTCTCTGTACCAGAGGAGCTGACACTCTAATGTCCCCCACAGTCCCATCAGTCTCTGTACCAGAGGAGCTTACACTCTAATGTCCCCCCCCCCCCCCCAGAGGACAGTCACAGTCCCATCAGTCTCTGTACCAGAGGAGCTTACACTCTAATGTCCCCCACAGTCACATCAATCTCTGTACCAGAGGAGCTTACACTCTAATGTCCCCCACAGTCCCATCAGTCTCTGTACCAGAGGAGCTTACACTCTAATGTCCCCCACAGTCACATCACTCTCTGTACCAGAGGAGCTTACACTCTAATGTCCCCTCCCCCACAGTCCCATAAGTCTCTGTACCAGAGGAGCTTTACACTCTAATGTCCCCTCCCCCACAGTCCCATCAGTCTGCGTACCAGAGGAGCTTACGCTCTAATGTCCCCTCCCCCACAGTCCCATCAGTCTGCGTACCAGAGGAGCTTACACTCTAATGTCCCCTCCCCCACAGTCCCATCAGTCTCTGTACAGAGGAGCTGACACTCTAATGCAGTCAGGCTATGATTTGTATCGAGTGACATTTCATCTGATATAATAGGAATGTTGCTGATGTGATTGTTGTGACAGTTGATGTCCTCGGGGTTGTCAGCCGTCTTCGCTCTGTCGGTTGTCGCCCGTGTTCCTGTTAGTCGGCCGCCTGTCGACATTTATTCAGGTGTTTTATTTGCAGGAAGAAATCAATTGATTCCCAGAGATAATAGGATTTCTCCCCGGTGAGCGGCGGAGGGTGGGGGTTGGGGAAGGTGGGGGGTCTGGGAAGTGGAGGTGGGCGTCATTCTGACATTCATAATCTCCCCGACGGTCGCCCGGCTGATTTTCATTCTTCGTTGACTTCCAGGCTTTCCGTCTCGGGAACGTCTTTCTGTGTGATTGTGAATGGTGCGTCTGCTGCGAGAGGCATGGTGGAAGGATGGAGCGAGGAGAAGTGACACGAGGAGGGGGGAGCGGAAAAAACTGAAGACACACAACTGAGAGATAATGATGGGGAAGAGGAACTGCCGGGGAACATTATTCGATGCGGAAAAAAAGACCGCCAGACACAAAGGCTCTGCTGAAACCTGGGATCTCCGGCAACACCGGAAAAGTGCGGCGGAAGAAAACTAAGTGAATGGAGGAGCAAAGACGGTGAGCGGGATAGGGAGATGAGAGCCAACGGGTAGGATAGATGGAGCGGAGAAGACAAAGGCATCGGCCAAGGAAAAGAAAATGGCAATGGTCTCCTCCGAGTAGGAAAATCCTTCATGGCTCAACTTAACAACGAACAACTGGATGGACTTCATGGGCAAGAGGTCCAAGGCGTCTCCTCAGATGGGCCAAGGATATGGATCGCCGTCTTCTTGAGTTTCATTGTCCTCCTGACCACTGCGGGAAACTCTCTTCTCATCTTGCTCATCTTCACCCAAAGGTCCCTTCGGAACACTTCCAACTACTTCCTGGTGTCCCTCTTCATGTCGGACCTCATGGTGGGCCTGGTGGTGATGCCTCCGGCCATGCTGAATGAGCTCTACGGCAGGTGGGTCCTGGACGCCGCCTTCTGTTGCATCTGGTACTCCTTCGATGTCATGTGCTGCAGCGCGTCCATACTCAACCTTTGCGTGATCAGCCTGGACCGGTACCTGCTCATCATCTCGCCGCTCAAGTACAAGCTCCGCATGACCTCCTGCCGGGCCTTGGGCCTGATCTTGGCCACCTGGACATTGGCGGCGCTGGCCTCATTTCTACCTATCGAGATGGGGTGGCATGAGCAGAACTTGGAGGCCCCGTCCTCAAACTTGACATCCGTCGTGGAGGAGAAGCAGTGCCGGCTCACAGTCAGTCTACCCTACGCCCTGATCGCCTCCTGCTTGACCTTCTTCTTGCCCTCGGCGGCCATCTCCTTTACCTACTGCCGGATCCTGCTGGCGGCCAGGAAACAAGCCGTCCAGGTGGCCTCTCTGACCACCAACATGCCCAATACTAATGAAGACCACACACAGGTAAGTAATGGCTTAATCAGAACTCATAGAAGAGCACCTAGAAAAGCACCTAGAAAAGCTCCTAGAAGAGCTCCTAGATAAGCTCCTAGAAAAGCTCCTAGACAGGCTCCTAGAAAAGCTCCTAGAAGAGCTCCTAGGAAAACCCTAGAAGATCTCCTAGAAGAGCTCCTAGGAGAACCCCTAGAAGAGCTCCTAGAAAAGCTCCTAGACGAGCTCCTAGAAGAACTCCTAGAAGAGCTCCTAGAAGAGCTCCTAGACGAGCTCCTAGAAGAACTCCTAGAAGAGCTCCTAGAAGAACCCCTAGAAGAGCTCCTAGAAGAACCCCTAGAAGAGCTCCTAGAAGATCTCCTAGAAGAGCTCCTAGGAGAACCCCTAGAAGAGCTCCTAGAAAAGCTCCTAGAAGATCTCCTAGAAGAGCTCCTAGAAGAACCCCTAGAAGAGCTCCTAGAAGATCTCCTAGAAGAGCTCCTAGGAGAACCCCTAGAAGAGCTCCTAGAAGATCTCCTAGAAGAACTCCTAGAAGAACCCCTAGAAGAGCTCCTAGAAGATCTCCTAGAAGAACTCCTAGAAAAGCTCCTAGAAAAACTCCTAGAAGAACTCCTGGAAAAACTCCTAGAAGAACTCCTAGAAGAGCTCCTATAAGAACTCCTAGAAAAGCTTCTAGAAGAGCTCCTAGGAGAACCCCCAGAAGAACCCCTAGAAGAGCTCCTAGAAGAGCGCCAGTCGCAAGGAGAGGACATTCTTACGAATAAATAGAAACCTAAAGATTTAGCCGACCGACGGCAGAAGAAGACACCGCGGTCCCTCAAGTCTGCCCGATGTTTTGTATGTTTTTGGGGATGGACCTTTGTATCCCGGAGACGGTTCATTCACTTTAACCGATATTAAACCCAAAACTGTAATCTATTGCAGCTCACCAATCGTGTGGCGGCTGCATTAGTTTTCCTTTTTTAAGGCTTTTTCCACCCCTCTGTTTTCACCAGGTGATCTGGCCAGTAGCACACCACCTGTATTAGAGCACTCTGGAGGAAGGAGCACTGGGGGAACCTTTTGGTCAGCAGCAATGTCAGTCTTGGGGAGGGGGGAGTGTTAGATGCACTAGCAGATTTAGATGTACTAACGCACTGAAGCCGAACTCCAGATCTCTATAATCTGTTAGGTTTTTGTTTTGTTTTGTTTTGGGGGGATAAAGGGGAAAAAAATAAAAGCTGTTCATTGTAATCACCCGTCAGTGGTAAATGGTTTGTCTCAAACCTCTAATGGCTACATCTGCAGGACAGCTTGCTCTGTTGAAAAACAACAGACCTACTGACTGGATCAGTTGGTGAAAGGAAAGTAAAAGCCTAAAAAAAAACAAATACAACTGTCACATCTAAGAATTGTGGGTCTAAGACTACTAGGGATGAGTGATACTGAGATTTTCCTGCAATTCTGGCAAAAAAATGTGTAAATTTTAAGTAAATATTACCATTTTGGTGAAATGCAGTGAAGTCAATGAAAAAGGTGAAATTAAGGTGCCTATTTTTTTTTTTTTTTTGTGATCTATGGGATTTAATTATCTCCTGAGGGTTAAGGAAGCTCCTTTCACCGATCTTCAACTTGTTCTTGTGCCAAAAAAAAAAACAGAGAAAACAAAAAATGATGAAAAAAGTTTTATTAACTGTAAAGAGACCAAACAGATATAATGAACAAATAAACAACATAAATAAATATCGCTGAACAATTCACAATACACCCCCTAGAAAAAATCTAAATAAACAAAAAAGAAAGATTGGGCTTAGTGTGCGGTCATTTTTTTTGTTTTTGTCCCAAGCTTAAGATTTTTTTAGATTCCCTCTTTTTTGTTTTTTTTTTTAACTGTATTTTATTTTATTTTTTTTATTTTTGCCCTTTAGCTTTTCTTAAGTGGTTTCATACCAAGTTTCAGTGAAGGATTAGAGCTAAATAAATTATTATTATTTTTAGATCTTTTTATTGTTTTACTCTATTTTTATTTTATGTTATTTGATTTTTTCAGGAAGGGATTAGAGGCAAAATAAAGTTTTTATTATTATAATATATAATATTATATATATATATATATATATATATATATATATATATATATATATATACATTTTCAATATATATATTTTTCATTTTATTTGCTTTTTCCAGGGACAGATTAGAGCCAAAAAAAACCAAATGTGTTTTTTTTTTTTAAATTATTATTATTATTTTTAGATATTTTGTATTTAATTTTTATTTCTTTATTTTTATTTTATTAGCTTTTTTCAGGGAACGTTTTAGAGCCAAAAACCCCAAATATTTTATTATTATTATTATTAGGATTATTATTTTAATATATTTTGTATTTCATTTTTATTTATTTTTATTTTATTAGCTTTTTTCAGGGAAGTTTTTTAGAGCCAAAAAACCCAAATGTTTTGATTATTATTAATTTAAGATAATTTTGTATTTATTTAATTTTTTATTTTATTAGCTTTTTTTCAGGGAAGGATTAGAGCCAAAAAAAGGATTATTATTATATATTTACATTTTTAGATATTTTTTTATTTTTTTTCCACTTTATTTTTTATTTCATTAGCTATTTTCAGGGAAGTTTTTTAGAAAAAAAAACCCAAATGTTTTTATTATTATTATTTAAGATAATTTTGTATTTAATTTTTATTTCTTTATTTTTATTTTATTAGATTTTTTTTCAGGGAAGGATTAGAAAAAAAAAAAAAAAAAAAAATTATTATTATATATATTTACATTTTTAGATAAAATAATTTTTTTCCACTTTATTTTTATTTCATTAGCTTTTTTCAGGGACTTTTTTTTAGAGCCAAAAAAAAAATGTTTTTTATTATTTTATTACAGGGAAGTTTTTTTAGATATTATTTTATTTTTAATTTTTCCACATTTTTATTTTATTAGCTTTTTTCAGGGAACTTAAAAAAAAAAAAAAAAAATTATTATTTTTTAGAGCAAAAAAAAACACAAATGTTTTAAAATTATTATTATTTTTTTTATTTTTTAAGATAGAAAAAAAAACCCAAATGTTTTTATTATTATTAATTTAAATAATTTTGTATTTCATTTTTATTTTTTATTTTATTAGCTTTTTTTCAGGGAAGGATTTTTTTATTATATTTTTTTCAGATATTTTTAAAAAAATTTTATTAGCTATTTTCAGGGACTTTTTTTAAAGCCAAAAAAAAAATTAAAATTATTTTATTTATTTTATTAATTTTTTTTATTTTTTTAGAGCCAAAAAAACCCAAAAACTTTATTTTAATTAATTTTGTATTTCATTTTTATTTTCAGGGACTTTTTTTAATTTTATTAAAAAAAGGGAAGGATTAAGCCCAAAAAAAATTATTATTATTATATTTAATACATTTTTAGATATTTTTATTTTTTTCCACTTTTATTTTATTTTATTAGCTATTTTCAGGGATTTTTTTTTTTAGAGCCAAAAAAACCCAAAAATTATTATTTTAAAATAATTAATTTAATTTAATTTTTTAGCTTTTTTTCAGGGAATTTTTTTAGAGCCAAAAAACCCAAATTATTAATTTATTTAATTTTGTATTTCATTTTTTTTATTTCTTTTAGAAAAAAAAGCTTTTTTTAGGGAAGGATTAGAGCCCAAAAAAAATTTATTTTTTTATTACTTTTAATAAAAAAAAATTTTTTTTAATATATTTTGTATTTTATTTTTACTTTATTTTTATTTTATTAGCTATTTTTTTTAAAAAAGCAAATGTTTTTATTATTAAAAAAAAAAAAAAAAAAAAAAAAAAAAATATATTTACAAAAGATAATTTTTATTTTTTTTCCACTTTATTTTTATTTTATTAGCTATTTTCAGGGACTTTTTTTACAGCCAAAAAACCCAAAAAAAAAATTATTATTATAAAATATATTTTGTAAAATTTTTATTTTATTAGCTTTTTTTCAGGGAAGTTTTTTAGAGAAGTTTTTTAGAAAAAAACCCAAATGTTTTTATTATTTTAATTTAAGATAATTTTGTATTTCATTTTTATTTCTTTATTTTTATTTTATTAGCTTTTTTTTCAGGGAAGGATTAGAGCCAAAAAAAAAAAAAGGATTATTATTATTATATAAAAAAAAACTTTATTTTTATTTTATTATATTTTCAGGGAATTTTTTTTAGAGCCAAAAAAAATATTTAAGATAGATATTTTTTTATTAGCTTTTTTTTTTTCCAAAAAAAAAACTTTATATTTTTTTAATTTTTTTTCTTTATTTTTATTTTATTAGCTATTTTCAGGGAAGTTTTTTAGAAAAAAAAAAAAACCCAAATGTTTTTATTATTATTTAATTTAAATAATTTTGTATTTCATTTTTATTTCTTTATTTTTTATTTTTTAGTATTTCATTTTTATTTATTTTAGATATTTTTATTATTTTTTTCCACTTTATTTTATTTTATTTTTTTCGGGGTTTTTATTAAGAATTTTTTTTAGAGCCAAAAAAAAATGATAATTTAAAATTATTTTAAATTAATAATTATTATTATTAATTTAAGATAAATTTTTGTATTTTCAGGGAATTTTTATTTTTTATTTTATTTTTAGCTTTTTTTTCATTAGAGCCAAAAAAAAAGAAGGATTAGAAAAAAAAAAAAAAGGATTATTATTATATAAAGATATTTTTATAAAAAAATTTTTTTTTTTCCACTTTATATTATTTTTATTTCATTAGCTATTTTCAGGGAAATTTTTTTTTAGAGCAAAAAAAAAAAAATTTTTTATTATTATTAAAAAAGATATTTTGTAAAAAAAATTTTTATTTATTTTATTTTATTTTTTTTATTTTTTTTTTTAGCTTTTTTTTCAGGGAAATTAAAAAAAAAGAAAAAAAAAAAAAAAAAAAAAATTATTAAAAAATATATTTACATTTTTAGATATTTTTATTTATTTTTTTCCACTTTATTTTTAAAAAATATTATAGCTATTTTCAAAAAATTTTTTTTTAGAAAAAAAAAACCCAAAAAATGTTTTTAAAATATTATTATTTTAAAATATTTTGTATTTCATTTTTATTTATTTTTATTTTATTAAAAAAAA